AGACTCGGGGTCCGCACGGCCGGGGGGACGGCGGTGGGATGAGCAGAGCTGAGGGCGGAGAAGCCCCAAGAAGGCTGCAGGGAACACGGACACACACGGGAGAGCGCGGACGAAACTTCTGAAAATCTTAGAAACGGAGAAACACGAACCTTCTATTTTATTTTGTTTTCCCAGAGCTTCCCACCTGGCAGTAGAAATCCGCTGGTAAGTTCCACCCCTGACCTATCGGAACAGCCGCCATCACCCGCCGTGTGGGTGGGGGAACCTCCCTGTGTCCCAGGGTGGCCCACGGCCAGGATGGGACGTGACTTTGGAACCAGAGGGTGGACGTCTCCGAGTCCTGGGCGCTACCCTGGGCGCTCACTGGCGGGGTCCACTCTGGGCTTCAGCGTTCCCGTCCCAGTGGTTGGACTGTTTATGTTCGTCACATTCTACTCCTCTGTGTTGGTTAAGAAAATATTCCGCTGAATGTTTCAGATTATTGCTTCCCCTTAAGACGCCCCTAGAGTTAGAACTTTAAAGTACGTTTGTGCCGTATTTTCCCAGTCTACCAGCCCACTCTGACCCTCGGTATCCTCTTCTGTCAAATGAGTTAGCTGGACTTGGGGATCTCCATATCCCTTGTAGAACCGTCCATCTCTGGTTCTTGCTCCTAAACGGTCTCTACATCTATGTGTATACAGGTGTGAGTTCCAGGAGCAGTTATTTGGTGAACCAATCAATCCCTTGCCTATTATTCATGTAAGCCAGCATGCAGTGTTCTCAGCGTGTAAAGATACACGTTAACTTTATGAACCACTTACCTCTAAACTACTCTGATAGCACGTTCATTAAATGGTTTTCATTCTGTAACAGAATGACCCCTTCTTTCTACAGTTTTCGTGCCTACGTCGAGAGAGCGTGGTTTCAAAGCTTTCCTTAATTTCACAATTTAAAAGGCAATTTTTATTTTTTTATTCTCTTTAAGTATATAGTCTTTCCTGGGGGTTCCCCAGCCAAGTACTAACCCAGCCCGACACTGCTAAGCTTCCGAAATCAGAAGCGATAGGGTGTGTTTGGGGTGGGATCAACAACAAAAAAAAAAATTAAAAAATGACAACGTCTTTTCTGCATGCGGATGGCAACTCTCTCTGACGTTCTTGTTTTCTCCCAAGATCGACGTGTCTGGCGATTTGGAGAATCAATACCACTTTCCGAGCTCTGAGCCCAGAGCTACACACGTCGTAAGGATCAGAGCGGCCGACGCCCGCATCCCAGACTGGAGTCCTTGGAGTCGGCCCGTTGAGTTTGGTGAGTGCGTCGGCCGGCGCGTGGGCAAGGGCTGCGTCCGGCAGATATAAGGGACATCGGTGATGTCCGATGCCACCCGGGAGGGGACGCAGATGCCAGCTGCTTTCTCCTGGGCGCTGAGTTTTGCGTTTAGAGCATCGCTAGGGATATTGTCACAGCCCAACTGTGTCCTTGAGTCACCCCAGGAAGCTCAGAAGGCGGAGGTGACCTCCTAAATGGGCCCTGGGATGTCACTTTGTCAGTGGTGGAGACAGGACATATTTAAACGCCTCCTTCTGCCCAGCCAGGAAATGATCTCTCAGTGTTGGCCCCAGCTCAGGGGCAGCTGATGTGGAAACTGTATCCGTTTCCTGCTAATCAGGACGAAACTATCACAGGCAACTAAATTACCAGCACAGCCAACGGGCTCCTTCCCTCCAACCTCCATTTGCTGGCAAGAGTTTAAGCCCTAAAGCCAATATGATCCTTAAAAAGTCTAGCTCTTCCCCCGAAACATTTTCAAACATTTTAGCATTTTTATACAGAAAGGGCTTTTTTTTAATTTTTTTTGTCTTTTCTAAGATCAATGATTTTTGCTCTTGTAAGTTCCTGTATAGAATTTGTATGAGGTATTTATTCAGTAGCGTAGCATGAGTTGAAAGGAACAGCTACGGACAGAAACTGATTGATTTACAATCTTGGGTTTGGGCAGTGGGCTCTCAGCTATGGCTCCAAAAGCAGCAACAAGAACAGGAACTGTCAGTAAATAGGACGTCAGCAAAATTAAAACCCTGTGTGCATCCAAGGACGCCTTCAAGAAAATGAAAACACGCTCTCAGGGTGGGAGAAAGTATTTGCAAATCACACGGCTGATAAGTATTTAATACCCCGGTATCCAGAATGTATATAAAGCACGCAACG